GATAGCTATACTGATTGTTATTACCGTTCATTTTTAGGATTAATTTTTTTATTATTTTTATATTTGTTATTGTTAAAAATTTTTGTTAGTTGAAATTTTATAAAACACCAAAAGTTTTTTGTTATAATTGTTGTATTCTTTGAAATGAGTGATGGTTTATTCATGAAACAATTTATTAGAAAAAATTATAAAAATAACTTTAAAAATGAAATGTTTGAAGAAGAAATCTTATCTAAGTTATAAAAATTAAGTAGAAAATAAATTAAGAGTGTTTAAATAAGAATGATGATATCAGAAATAAGCTAGTATAAAGATCGGTTTTTATATAAACAGGAAGGATGACACTTATAGATCAATTAAGAAACTTAAAAATTTTAATTCTAACCATTTTTTAGATTTTAACAAATATATCGTAGATGTCTCTTTGATAGATATTAATATTTTAAACTTAATTTGTTCTAGAAACTTACATTTTAATAAAAAAATTTTAGCTATTGAAATGATAGTGATTAAATTAGTAAGACAATAATATATATATAAAATCAACGTATGACATTGAATAAAGTATTTGGATTATTCCATGGTGATGAGAAGTGTAATAACGTATATTGTGAATCATCGCCTAGTACGGCAAACTATAATAATTTTTTATTAAAAACAGTATTATTAAAACTAATTACAATTTGTTACAGATGGTTTTTTATAAATCACTGTAACAAATTTAATAATTCTCGTGTCTTACCCTAGGAGCTGATCCTGTTGTAACTTAATATGTGAAGTATGATTGTATTTTATTCTTTAATATTTTGTTTGTATTTGTATTATAACCGTTAAAATATTTTTGTCATAAATAATTTAATTATTTATAAAATTTTTTATCAAATTTAAGGTTAAAAGCTTAAAAGAACAAAATTTAAACAGAAAATATTTCGGATTAAGTCTCTTTTTTTCCCCAGAAAAACAAATATAAATAAAATAATAAAAAACAATAAAAGCTAAATTCATTATAATCTTGGTAGCGTTTCGATTAGCGCCCCACGATCGGATTGGCGCCCTATAATCTGATTGGCGCCCCTCGATTGGATTGGCGCCCAAAATTATATATATATAAATTCTAATAAATAATAAAAATAATAAAGTTTATTAATTAACCTTTTTTTTGTTATTTTTTAATTTTCAAAAGATTCTTCCTTCACCAAAATCCACATCAATGTTTCATAAATCAAAAGGGTTATATATTTTAAAAATTTTATTAAAAAATTTTATTAGAATATATATATAATTTGGGGCGCTAATCCGATCGTGGGACGCCAATCGAAACAATACCATAATCTTAATAATATTAATAATTCTTCAAAGTTCTTATTAAACCCAAGATTATTTAGAACATACTTGCATTTATTCCATACACTTTCAATGTTCTGAGTGTCATCTATTTACACAACCATACCATCATTTCAGAGGCAAAGCGGATTTTCATTGACATGTTACAAACACTGCATTCATAAAAAATCGATTATTTCATAATAATATTTCTTCTCACGTTCACCTCTGACCCTATCTGTATTTGAGTTTGGTTTTTAAACCATTTATAACATATCTGTAGTATGCTGCTCAGAGATACATTGAAACTTGATAATAGTGATTCAATGTGAACAGAAATATATTTACTCTAGTTAATACACCTATTGTTAAAACATCTAAACACCACTTTATCTCTATTTTTAGATTGTGTTCTAGTTTCCATATCTTGTTGTCAAGATATGTACTTCACGTATCTCTTCAATACACTCTTGGTACGAAGAAACACTATCAAGTTTTCAGTCAGTCTGGGTAAAAGCGGTTCGAAAAACACTACTATACCAAAATTCATGGGTTTAAAAATTAATTTAAAAAAATTTATTGTATTTTTGTAATATTTTTTTATATTTTAACGGTCCTTTTTTCCCCTACGTGGGAAAAAAAGGGACTTGATTCAATATTTCTTGTAAACAAATTTTGACTAATTTTTAAATTATTGTTGTGGTGATATTATTGTCATACCCTATGTAGTAGGAAGTATGCGTTGTAGTATTCCTTGCATGTTTTAAGAACTTTTCACGTGTTAAATGTTTAAAAGATTTGTTTGTGGTAATCATCATTTTATTTAAAAGGATTTTTCTTTAAATATTCATAAAAGGGGAATTGATCAATCATTAAATAATTAGTTTATAAACCAATCCATAGTAGCATTAGATTTCACAATTACTATAACAAAAATGAACACCATACAATAGATATTAAAGTGAAAATGTTTTGTTAATATTTTCATCAATTGTTTTAATCAGTTTTACTATTTTCTTTGTTTTTTATACATATAAATCATGATCTAGAATAAAAATCTTTACTACCTGTGTTTTTTGTTTGATAATTACATCTTCTTCAGTACCAGAGCCTGTTTTTTGTTCAATATTTATTCCTTACTTTTTTATTATTTATTTTATTTAATGTTATAAAGTTAAGTTTTTTATAAAAAATTTAACAAGTTTCAATTTAAATTCAAGTGTACCAATATTTATTAGAAATGTTACTAATTTCACTATCACCTGTTACGGCAGGTTCTGATAGTAACTCTTGTGGTTTATTTAAATCCGCATTATTAGCTCTTCTCTCATTTCTGGTGTCACCTGCACCCGAACCTCCTTCTCTTACGTCATATCAACAATTAATCTATAAAATAATTTATTAATCATTAAAATAAGGGTTTAATAAAATGTTTTTTTAATTGTAATTAATAAATTAAGACATCATATTTCAAATCATAAAGGAATAAATTGAAGAAATTTCAATTTATACGGTAACAATACCAATATATGTTAGTGTTATACAAATATTATACAAAGTTAACGTAAAAATTTAAAGAAAAAAATAATAAAAAACACCGATTTAAAAAAATCAAAAAAATATTTTTTTTATCAACACCAGCCTTTAATATTTTAGCATTGAAATAATATAATTCAATATTTGAAACTCAACTGTTAAATAAAATTTATAAGAAATCTTCTAATTAAATCAGGATATAAATAAAATAGTTAACAAAGATTTTATTGAAAACAGTTATTATAAGAAAAAAAATATTAGAACAAGTTGAAAGTATACCAAAAAAATTACACAACTGGGTACGATTAAAAATATAGTTAGTATAAGATATACTCTCAAAAGATGAGGCTTTACAAAACTTTTATAAATATAATTATTAATCATTTATCAATCTTCACTATTACAATTATTTAAACAGTTTCTTAGCAATTTTAAAATACCACATTTTGTAAAATTTTTAAAGTTTTTAAAAGAATAATTTTCAATAAATATTTCTATTTCTTTAAAAGTTTTAAACATTTTATCAATAACTGTTTAATGACCTAAATATATGACAGGAAAAGGATTAAAGTCGGGTGAATAATACTTCATAACTCAATACTATATTTGTTTTTTGTTGTGATTGATATAAGAGACTTTGTATTATCATACTAAAAAAACACCTTTTTATCAATATTTAACTTCATTTTGTTATGGTCTGTGGATCATAAGTTTTAAAAAGCTTAAAATTTTTATAATAACTTTACTTTTTATCATTATCCTCTTTTGATAGTTTCTGACTATAAACACAAAAAAGAGAACTAAATGTTTTAATACCGATAAGCACAATTGATTAATGTTAAAAATAAGTAACAACACTTATTTTTTCTAAATCGATTAATTTAATCTTTTCAGTTGATTTAAATATCTTATATAATCAATTGAAATGTCACTAGTAAAGAGTTCATGATAGATTATACTATTCATACACCATCGTTTACATTGTAATTATCTTGACATGCAATCATTTTTAATTTGAGGGTGGTAATTTGTTCTTGTTAAACCAAGCTTTTCTATTTGTATGATTGTTAAAAACATACCATTATCAAATGTCATGATTTTTTTAAAAAGCTTTTTGTCGTGCCTTGCACGGCTTATCATTTGGTTTAAATAAAACTTTTGTTTAACCATTTTTTATTTAATAAATTTCCTTTTTAATTTTAAGTAGTTAACAGTATTATAATTGGTTAAAACCCTAAAACATTTAAGTATATGTCAAACTAGTTGACATGAGACTTTGGTACAATACTTTTATTTAAAAACGTGTTTTATATTCTTTAATTGGAATATAAAACATTTATATTTCATTATTATAAAATTCAAAAATTTTTAATTTTATTTAAATGACTTTATACTTTGCAAACTTATGTGTTTACAATATTTAGTTCTTATACCCGTTTTTTAATAGAAGATGGAAAGTTCCTAAAATCTATTAATTAAACATTAATTAATTATTTCTATAAATCTTCCAGATTTAATTTTATTTTCAAATAACAATTTTAATTCGATACAATTTTTATATTGATTCTAAAAAATACTTTTGTTTACAATGTTTTTATTTCTTAAAAGTTTCTGTTACGTTAATTCCTTTAAAATTGATAAAATATGACAAGTGTCTTATATACTCTATCTTATTAATAGATTTAGTCAATATTAAGTTTAAAATTAAAAAAGTATTTTTTCTTTCCATATAAAGGTGATGTTTTGAACTAAAAATTAAGTCTAAAAATACAGTATCATTTGCTCATTAACAGTCGAATTTTTAACATTTAAAAGATTCAAACACAAATCAATGTTTTTACTACTAAAGTTAAATAATTTTATATGAAAACTTGAAATAATATTTAAAATATTAAAACTTCTGTTTTATTTAATCATACTTAAGGCATTTTCTAAATAGAAATATAATAAATCTAATACTTAGAATTACAATAGAAAGTAGTATGAAACAAAGTAATGTATCAAATAATATCTCTATCATATCATCTATTTTGATTTTGAAAAAGTCTTTAATCTCATCTTCAAATATTAGAAGGATAATAACTAGTATTATTGAAATAGTAAGTATAATCAATGATGTTTTTGTACTAAACAAAATACTACAAAATGATGAAGATGGTTTTTCATTTTTAAAAGGTGTATTGTTTTTAGAAAATTGCATGTTATCATTGTTTTCTTGAGGTTGTTGTAGATGACTACTTGGTTGTTGTATTTGATTGTCATAAAATTGATTATTATTATGAAACTGATTAAATGGTGTTTTACTATCTTGATTAATACTGTTTGGTAATTCGATTGAATCTGTTTTTTGATAGTTATGCTGATTGTTATAAGCGTTCATTTTTAGGGGTATCTTTTATCTTTTTTTAATTTATTGTTGTAAAATTTTTTTTAAAAAATTTTAAACTATTTTTTCTTAAAAACTTAAATTCTTCGTAATAATTGTTGTATCCTCTGAAAAGAGTGATGATTAACTTAAGTGATAAAGTATATTTTAAAAATTATATTTGATATTTTAAGGGGTGAAATGTTTAAAGGAGAAACTCTATTTAACTTATAAAAATTAACTATAAAATGAAAGAGAATGCTTTAATGTGAAAGATGACAATAGAATTGAGTTAGATACAGAAATTGCCGGAATCAGCAGAGGATGAGTAAACAAGTTTATTTAAATCTTTTGTATCATCTAAATACCGACCAGTAGTATTACCAGTGTCTATATATATCATCTCATTATCTTCATATCTGTCTTTCAAGTTATCTCTGTTCATCTTAACTTCTCTAGGTATAATAATTAATTTATAATTTATAAATTAGAAAATTTCCAAAAACGTGTTTACCTCCAAATTTACTTATGGTGTATTACGACAGAAAATAACTTTTATATAAATACTAATGATGACACATGTTGATCTATTTAAAAACTTGATGTACTTTATTCTAATAAATTTTTAGATTTCAACTATAATAATAATTTTTTTTTATAAAATTTAGTTTGGATTTTTTTCTTAAAACTAATTCCAAACAATTTAAAATGTTTTTTCTAAAATCACTGCAACAAATTTAATAATGAGAATGAACACCAATATAGCAGATATTTAAGTGAATAAATATTTAATAAATATTTTCATTAATTGTTTTAATCAGTTGAAGGTGTTTTTATTGTTTTATTATAAATACATCATTTTAGATCAATAAAAAAGTAACTTTAAAATTAACAACTACTCCAACAAATAAAAATATGCTGTTTTCAAATCTAACTATATGAATTAAAGGTCTAAAAAACTTTTCTTAAAATTTAAATTTAAAATTGTGATAAGTTAACTATATCTTAATTAAAATCAACTAAGAATATTTCTAATTAACTAGTATAATATAGATTTTTTATTTATTTGATTGATAAAGTTTTTGCATCAATATATTCTAAAACTGTGTTGAGGTGGTGTAGAAATTAATATGAATGTGCTTAGCTGTATTTTTATGAGAAAGCAAAAATTAACTTACAAAACAGATTCTATTTTTTTACCATAATAGATTAAACTTTTTATAGACATTCTTTTGTTTAGCGCACCATACATAAAACCAATTAGCTAAAATTGAATGGCACCTTATAAAATTTTATTAAATAAAAAAATTATATCAGTTTGAACATATGGACACGCAAAATATCATTGTTTCAGATGAATGGAAAGCATAGCATGGTCTAAACTCTTATTTTCATGAAAAAAATATTGAAAAACATAGTGAGAATTTTGTAGATTCAACAATTAGATGTCATACTCAGTTATTGAGTGTATATGGAGCCATACGAAGCTAAAAATAAAGAAAAAGAAAAAAGAATCGGTTTTTTCTCTTTAAAACTAATTTAAACTTTTTTTGCTTTAGTTAATAGCATAAAGTATCGGAGTTTGCAGAATTTATGATGTTCTTAGTAAAGAATTTTTAGTAAATTTTTTAAATATTTTTTGATATAATAATTTATAGGACCAATCAGTTTTGAGGGCACCGATTTAATTGACAGATTAAAATTAAAAAACGGTAAACTAATCAAAACAGTATCTTTTTCTATAATATGTTTTTGATTTAACAGTAAAGTATTTGGAGTTATTAATTGTAATTTACTTAATTTAAAAAATTGTTAAGATACTCTAAAAAATACTGATTACTGAAATATTACAAGTTAACAGAGACTCACTCTTGAATTCGTTTATGAAGGTATTTCTTGTATTATCACTTTTCTTTTATTCATTTCGACAATTTTTTAAGGGTTTTTTAAAGTTCGAAACTTTAAAATTCTATCCACGCATGTTTTATATTAAATGGTTTTCTAACAAATATTTTAATTTTAATATAATATTACTCATTAATTATAGGTGAACATTTTTATTAAATAAAATTATCAATATTTTTATTTAAGTTTTAATTTTAATTTGAATTTATAAGATGATCAGCGTAATTACTGCTACAATAATAAATAAACTTTGCTGTCAAATATCATAAGTGTTAAATACCACAAGTCTACTTTAATAAAATCTTGAGAAACCAAACTCTAAACTTTTTTTAAATAATTTTATACTCTACAAACTCTTGTATCTGCGACATTAAGTTCTTTAATAACAGACAATGGGATTCTTAAATTAATTCATTAAGCTTTAATTAATTATTTCTACAGATCTGCCAGACCTAATTTTATAATCAACAAAAAAATTTTCACTCAATATAATTCTTGTATTCATTGTAAATATATTTTTGATTTGGTGTTTTTATCGTAGTATAATGGTACGCTTTATTAACTAATTTATTAATTTGTCGTAATATATAATTAAGCATATTGAATTAGTTTATCGAATCAATGCTTTAAAAGTAAAAATTGGTTAACATGAGTATAAATTTGACATAAAAATTTTACCCTTATGAAAGATACAGAGTTAGAAAACAATACAATTAATATTAACAAGATAATAAAATAGATGAAGAGGAAAATGGAAAAGAGATAAGGATTACCTCTGTAGACAGATTGAATAAATTAGTTTATTCGCTTTCCGAGGGTTTCGGTAAATATATTATCTGTTATACATATTCATAATCTTTATAAGTTAAATTATTAATAAATTTTTAAACAATTAGTTGACTTTTTAATACATAAATTTATATAATTGCTTTTAACTACTGTGATATCATTTATCACATATAAAACATGTGTTTTGAATATATTTTAAAAGTTAAATTTAAGTAATTAAAAAATATATTTTAAGAAAAGATTCTAAGCTTATAAATAAGGAAGATAATGAAGAAGAGAGAAAATGCAACTATATGTGATGATAATGTTTAAAACTCAAAAATAAAATTAAATCTAAAAAATACAGTTTTTTACTTTTAAACAGTTTAATATTTGCATTCAAAAAACTTAAACACTAATTTAATATTTTAACAACATTCTCTTGCCTTTGTTGTTAAAATTTAACGTGTTTATATGAAAAACTTGAATAAATTAAAATTAAAATAAAAAACATTCTATTTATTTTAATTTTATTTAAGATAATTTAAAAATTAAAAATCTATAAAATCTAATACTTAAAATTACAATAGAAAGTAGTATGAAACAAAAAATTATAAAATGTAATGGTGTAATTAAATTCGATATTATAACATTTCCACTTAATTTTTCTATAAAAATTAAAATAAGAATAAATAGTATTATTGAAATAGGAAGTAAAATCAATGATGTTTTTGTACTAAACCAAATACTACAGAAAGTTGAAGATGATTTTTCATCTTCAGAAGACATATTACTTTTAGAAAATTGCATGTTATCATTATTTTCTTGAGGTTGTTGTAGGTAATTACTTGGTTGTTGTATTTGATTATCATAAAATTGGTTATTATTATTAAATTGATTAAATGGTGTTTTAATATCTTGATTAATACTGTTTGGTGGTCTAGTTAAATCTGGATTTTGACAGCTATACTGATTGTTATTACCGCTCATTTTTAGGGGTAATTTTTTTATCATTTTTATATTTGTTATTTGTTATTGTTAAATTTTTATAAATTTTAAAAAAATTTTTTAGTTTGATTTTTCATTAAACACTCAAATTCTTCGTAATAATTGTTGTATCCTCTGAAAAGAGTGATGATTAACTTAAGTGATAAAGTATATATTAAAAATTATACTTGATATTTTAAGGGGTGAAATGTTTAAAGGAGAAACTCTATTTAACTTGTAGAAATTAAGTATAAAACGAAAGAGAGTGTTTTAATGAGAAAAATGACAATAGAATTGAGTTAGATATAGAAATCAACTCTTATGTAAATACTGATGATAACAGTTGTGTATTAATATAAAAACTTGATGTACTTTATTCTAATAATTTCTAGATTTCAACTATAATAAGATTTTTTTTTATAAAATTTAGTTTAAATTTTTTTCTTAAAACTAATTCCAAACAGTAAAAGATGTTCTTTTAAAAATCACAGTAACAAATTTAATAATGAGAATTAACACAAATATAGCAGGTATTTAAGTGAATAAATATTTTCTTTAATTGTTTTAATCAGTTGAAGGTGTTTTTATTGTTTTATTATAAATATATCTATTATCTGATGATAAGATTAGTATAAAAATATCTTCAAACTTTTTTCAAAAAAGTTTTAACACTGCTGATTAATAAGTAAAATGAATAGAGACAATTATCTTAATAAAAGTTTTAACAGATCAGAGGAGACTCTAAAACCTAACAACAATGTTACAAGTGAAGTACCAATATCAATAAAAAAATAACGGATCAAGTCTGAAATTTTCCCCCTGTGGGGAAAATTTCAGACTTGATCCAAAATAACTTTAAAAAATAATAATCAACTCCAACAAATAAAAACATATTACAGCAGGATATAAAATTTTATTAATAATTTTACATTGTTTTATTTTTATTTGAAAAAATGAGATTAGTTTTGCTTAATATTCAGACAAAAGCTCTTTTATTACAATTGAAAGTTTGTGAGAAAAGTTTTTAATCTTAAAAAATGATAAAATAAATCATTTGCATTATTAGTTTGTATTGAGATATTGATTATTGACATTAAATATCAAATCATCTCTTCACTTTTATATTTATTGCTTTCATATATTTCTTTAAGCTTTTTAATACTTCATTAATAAAAACTTTTCGTTGCATTCATTTCCATATTATTAGGTTTTTAAAACATTTTTAAAAGTTGATTTTTTAATAAATGCAAGACTTTCTTTTATCCAAAACATCACTTCAATTAAAGTAATTTTAAGATAAATCTTGTCAATGCTTAATTCAATACTTTCTATTGCTAAATAAATATTGTTACTGAGAAAGGATTTATGGTATTTTTTGAACAATATTTTGATCTAAAGATTGTAATACAGAAGTATTATTTAGTAAAAGAAAAATAAATTGATATATAAGGTAATGATACATCATGACCTGAAAAATTATCGATAAGTAATAATATTTTTCTATTTTTAACATCAATTTTTCATTTGAATATACAATATATTCATGAAATATATCACGTATAACCCATGAAGAATTATAAGATTTATAAAACATTTTTAGATCTTTAAGATAAAAGTTTTTAAAACATCTTAATGATTTTGATTTTGCAAAAATTAAATTAACAAGTAATTCTTCATCAGTATTAATGTTATTCCAATTAAATCCTTCTTTTGTTTATTTGATTTTTTTCTATATTGTCACTTTTTAAAATATATGATTTGTTTCCTTGTGTTTTAACATATAAACAAGTCTCGTCTTTATTAAAAATATTTTCTGTGAAATATTCGTTTTAAAGTATATTAAATTCTACAAAATTCAGTAAAGTCAATTTCTTTTGCCGACTTACTTTCACTAAATAAATTAGAATATTTAATATTATTACTTTCTATAAATTTTGTAATAAAGTAGCGAGTGGGTTTAAGACAAAAATTTTGAGCATCAATTAAATTACTTGTAATATTTAAAATTATGTCTCTGTCAATACTTCCACCACATAAACGAATTTAGTTTAATTCATTAAGGATATGGGCATCAATAACAAAATATTTCGTGTAAAAATCTTATGTTAAATAAGTATTGTTTAAAATTGGATTATCATCATTATAAGATAATAATCTTTCTGAATTATTGAAAGCTGTTTTTACTGTCTGTAACGACACGTAGTATTTCAAAGCAAGATTAGACATTGTAAAATTAACTGTTCGTTGTTCAAAAACTATGTTATTTCTTATTCCATTATTAATCTTACTTTAGTTAATATTTTAATTTTTCATAATAGTGCCGCAAATTTTTAGTTGAAAAATATTAAAAATTTTTTGAGTCTAATTAATAATTTTGACAATTAAAATTTGTTTTATGAATATTAAAATTGTTACATTTATTTTTTATAAAAAATTTTTTAAGTTTTATTTAAACATATAAAATTTATATTTATACTTTCAAATCATTAATTTTTTAACACGAAAAGTCAATTTTTATTCACTTTTTACACTATAAAAAGATAAAAATTTTAAGTGTTATAATTTTTTTATTTTTCTAATAAATTTTTGTTAAAAATTTATATCCTACTGTATTACCAAAAATTTTCAATCTGATTAAGATCTTGACCTTGCGAAGATCAATCTTTAACAATGATATCACTTTTTCAAACCAATAATCTGCTATCTTAGTAGTATATTTAGGATCGTTATCTAGTTTAAAGATAAAATTTTCCCATTTCTAAATTACAAGCTATTTTTTCAAGATTTTTAGTATTAATCTTAGTATATATGATTAAATACATCTTTCTTTAATAATTTCTAATCTACCTTCCCCATTGTATAAAAGACTCGAAAGAGTTTAATATTAACTTTACCGTGTTTTACCGCAGAGGTAAGCATTTATCTAAATATCTGTTCCTTTTTATCTTCTTATATAATGTCAATGTAAATTAATTTTATGTTAAAAAAAATATTAAAATATTTATAATCACCTACACAAAATTTTTCCATTAAATCTAAATGTTTATTTTAGTCTCATCTGATCAGTGAATTTATTTTAAAATCTTTTTTTTTCTATAAATTTTCTTTGTAAAATTAAATCTCTCTTTTTTAATTTTTATCTAAAAACAATGATTTTTTACAGAAAAACTATCAAGATTGTTTTTACTTAATTCACCTTGAATAGTATTAGAAGAAACCTTAGTATTATTTTTATCTTTAATTTCATTAGACAATTTTGTATATTTAATTTTAGTATAAATATTACCATTAAAAAATTTCATATTCTTTTTATTAAGTAATTTTCACCACCTGCTTTCTTTTTGTAAAAAGTGTTGATTTTATAAAAATTGGTAATAAATCTTGATATTGTTGGTTTATAAACATTAAAATTTTCTGATTACTGAACTTGTAAATAACCTTCTTGATTAATGCAATAATTCGTATTTTATTATCTAGTAAAGATTTATTGCAATTTAAATTATTAAAATTGTGAAATTTTTTTATTTTAAGTTGCAAATTTCTTGATCAGTATTTATAATTTTTCATAAGTTTATTAATTATGAATGCTTAGTTTTGTTTGAGAATGTATTTAAGCATGTGACTACTTTATAGAAACATATAGGTAAAAATAAAATCTTTAATAATATTTTTCAAAACACTTTTAATTAATTTGTATTTTTTCGATCGCGAATGTCTTTAAAAATAAAATTAAAACCTTTCATTTTATTTAATCATACTTAAGGCATTTTCTAAATAGAAATATAATAAATCTAATAGTTAGAATCAAAATAGAAAGTATTATGAAACCAACTAATGATAAAAATATTGTACCTACAAAAAAAATTTAAATAAGCGATTTTTTCCTCTATCTTATCAACATATATTGAAAAAATAAAAACTGGTATTATTAAAACAAGAATTAAAAATAATCTTGTTTTTGTACTAAACCAAATACTACAAAATGATGAAGATGGTTTTTCATTTTTAGAAGGTGTATTGTTTTTAGAAAATTGAATCATATCATTATATTCTTGGGGTTGTTGTATTTGATTGTCATAAAATTGATTATTATTATGAAACTGATTAAATGGTCTTTTACTGTCTTGATTAATATTGTTTAGTGGTCTAGTTAAATCTGGATTTTGATAGCTATACTGATAGTTATTAATTCTCATTTTTAGGGGTAATTTTTTTTATCATTTTTATATTTGTTATTTGTTATTTTCTTGTTGACTTATCCAACGGGTCACTTATTTCCTTTTTAGTAAACTCCTTCTTTTTCATAATGTCGTAATATGTAATTAAACATATTGAACTAGTTTATTGAATGAATATTATTAGAGGGAAAATAAATTTTGTGTCTATAAATTTGACATAAAAATTTATCCCTTATGACAGATATAGAGTTAGAAAACAAAACAATAAATATTAACAAGATAGATGAAATAGATGAAGAAGAAAATGGAAAAGAGATAAGAAGTACCTCTATAGACAGGTTGAATAAATTAGTTTCTTTGCCTACTGAGGGTTTCGGTACATAAGATAATCTATTTAAACAATTTTCTTTTCATATTATTTTCTGAAAATGATGTTTCAGAAGTGTCACAATGACATAAACATAAATTGACAACTAAAGTTGGTTCATCCAACATTTCTATTTATAGAATTTTTTAATTTTTTAAAAAATTCTATAAATATTCAACAAAATTATAAATTGTTTTTGTTGAATATTTTTCCATTAAAATTTTTTTCAACGATTTTTTATGAAAAATGTTCTAAATATAAAAAAATTAAGTTCAAAATAATTCTATTTTTTAAAACTATGTTATTTAATAAAAAAATCAGTTATAATTATACAACATGCCAATAACTTTCAATAAATTTTACTTTATACATTACATGATTTCAGTCTGTTTTCTTTAGGTGAGACATTGTAATTTAATTATATTTTATATAACAAAATTTTGTTTTAAATATTTCGTTAGTATTCGTACGTATTAAGAAAAATGAAAGTTAAAAATAAATGAAATTAACTTAAAACAAATTATAAAATGTTTAATATTCAATTAAGTACTCTTTTTTTTGTTTCATCTCCTCTAAGCGATTTTTTAATAGTTTTACAGAAATTGAATATACTTCTGCCATAACCCGTAAGATTATTACTGTTGGGTGAAGACATTAAAATTTCGGGCAAAGAATTTATTATTTCTATTTATAGCTTATTTGTTTACAAACAAACAGTTAATATTAATATTTCAATATTGAAGATAATTATTAATAAATAAATTATTTTAAACATATATTTCTTTTACATTTTAGTATTGTCACGATGTGATGTGAAAACTTCAATTCATTATAAATTAAAAAAGATTTTTTTAGTTTAATTTTTTAATTAATAAGTTAATTGGTAATGTTATATTTGAGTAGAATTTAGAAGTGCAGATTTATATCTCATTTTATAATTGATTGTTTTTAAACCAATTATTTAAAAATTAATCAATTTATCTTTTACAGATATTTAAACAATTTTTTTTAATAAATCATGGTTAAAAAAATAACTTTATTTAAAAGTTTTCACGTGGATTAACCTCGACCCTCAAAAAATACATTTTTCATATTAAGTGCTGTACTGGGTTTGACACCAGATATCAAAAAAAGTGATAAGAATACTATAAGTTTGAATTTATATAATTTACAATAATTATTTTTTAACATATTTTAATAATTGTTAGTGATATTAGTAATAGTATAAAATAATAAAACTATTATAATAAAAAAATAGTATAAATTATCAATAAAAAATGTTTTTTTTAATTAGTGTATTTAAATTCATTTTTTAAATTAATAAACTATTTTAATTAGTAAATATTTTAATAAAAGTAAGTTTATATAAAATTAAAGTATATTTTTAAAAAAGAATTATTTTAATTAAAAGATCAATTTTTACATGTCTTAGTAGGTAATAATTTATCTTAATACAAACATCTGTATCATACCAAAGCCTCATGTCAACTAGTTTGACAAATACTTTAACGTTTTAGAATTTTAACCAATTATAATACTATTGGTTACTTAAAATATAAAAAGGAAATTTATTAAATAAAGATGGTTAAACAAAAATTTATTTAAACCAAATGATAAGCCGTGTAAGGTACGACAAACAACATAGACTTTTTTGTTACTTATAAAATATCTCTGTTGTGACTTCGCTGCTCATTTCTTAAGTTTATAAGTCTTTAATATTTTTTGCTTTAAATTTTCATCCAATGTATTTGTTATATTGAATCTAAACAATACTTTTGTTTACATTGTTTTTATCATAAATATTTTTAATTTCTTTGAAAAGTTTCTGTTACGTTAGTTCATTTTAAATTAAAGAAATACATCAAGTGTCTTATATCCTCTATCTTATTAATATAATTAAAATTAAGTTTAAAATTAAAAAAGTATTTTTTCTTTCCATATAAAGGTGATGTTTTGAACTAAAAATTAAGTCTAAAAAT